GCCGAGCTTGGAGGCAACACTCTGGTCGCCACCTGCAGGAACCACCACGTTCCACCTCGTTTCGCCCCACAGGTGCTCGGATTAGTGGTGTGGGCGCTCATCGCCGCCACGACGTACCACCTCCACGCGGAGTACGGCTGGGTGATGTTCGTGTCCATCTTCTTTTGGATAGCGACGCTCCTTCTCTTCATGACTTACCTCCTGCAGCTTCAGCTGAAGTTCTACGCTGTCCCCTGGCCCCTCGTGGTACGTAGCCAAGAGGAAGCGAGGAGGGTCCCAAGCGGGAAACATCCTGGGGAGATGCTCCGAGAGGACCAGGAATTCAGGCTTTTCTCTCCTGTTGGAACAAAGCCCCCCACACTTCGTGCAATGACGTTGTTTCATTCTGCCCCTCGACTGCTTAGAAAATTTCCAGAACGGGGAGCCCCGAATCAGTGCAGAAAGTTACAGCCACCGCATCACTGCCGCAGGCGCAGTGTCAACCAGAATCCTCTCGGTGCAACCCGGGGTGCATTTAACGAGCTGGGAACCTGAGGTTTGCTCCCACCGTGAGGGGCTGGACCCTTATCCTCTGGTTCTCCTGGGCAAGAGGGAGGACCGTGAGACAGCCTTTTCCTCATCCCTCATCCCAGCGTGCCCGAGTCCCAAACCTCACAACTCCTCTTTGCCCTCCTCAGCTGCTGATCTTCAACGCTGTGGCAACCGTCCTCTACATCACCGCCTTCGTAACGTGCGCGGTCGCCGTCCATCCTACGTCCTGGCGGCAGTGGGATTACAACCGGAGAGCTGCGGCGTCTGTAAGTAGCAGCGGGCGGGCGAGGGCCGTGGGGCTGGGATGGCCGTCGTGCTCACGCGCGAGTTGTGCTCCTCTTCCAGTTCTTCTCCTGCCTTGTGATGATCACCTACGGCGTGAGCACCTTCTTCAGCTTCCGCGCCTGGAAAGGGCTCGGCAGCAACGCGGCCACCAGCCAAGTGACCGACCACGCGTAAGGAGCAGATGGCGAAGCCCCGGCCATGGGCCACCCTGGGTCAACTCACGCCAGGCTCGGAGCCG